CCAGATTCATGCTTATATCTAGACCGCACAGAGAACCAGGATTGCTCTACACTCTGGTATGTTCAAAGTCATGGTTCTATAAATAGTTGGTGCTAGTTTGTTTCGTATCACTTCACACATTAGCTGATGTTAGAGTTTTTTTCCTAATAACAATCATCATATTATCGTCTAAGTGGATCGAACCAATCACATTTTACATAAATTGTTTTGATGTAAATGCAAACTTTTAAGAGAGCATTATCTTTCGAGTTGGACTGAGTGATGATTATCTAGAATATCTATGTCAGAGTTGTAAAGATGAGAGCTGGATCAGCATTGCAAAGTATTTGAAGGAAGATGTTCCTCGACTTGTAAGCTCACAACATGTTGATACTATTGAAAGAATCTTATATGTTGTGTTCAAGTCACTTCCGTCGAATTTCAACCAATTTATCAAATGGATGGCTGAGATCCGAAGAACAGAGGATGTAAATCAAAATCTCAGCTCAGAAGAGAAATCAAGGCTCAACTTAAAGGTATTATATATCGATTGATTCTGAATTCAGATGTACGTGATTATATTCCATCAATCGATTGATTGATGTTCCTTGGTTTGTGTTACTGTAGCAAGAGTTACTGAAACAAGTGCAAGAAACTCAACTGTTCAAGCACGTGGAAAAGTTTCTATCCTCTGTGGATTACGAAGACAATCAGCCATATGTTGCTGCCAAGGCTTTTGCCCAAGAAGCTGAAATCGTATCAGAAATAGAATCAGACGAGTCCTGTTGTCGGGAAACTTGTGTGAAATGTATCAAAGGTATGTTTGTTCTTGAACTTGAATTACCTTGCCAATAGTAATTGATTGATACGACAAAGTGCTCAGGGATCACGATGATGCCTTCATTTTGAAGCTAGATTTCAGGAAAACATGGTTTGAGTTGGGTTTTGTAAAAAGTTCTTATAAGGCGACCCTCTTTTTTCTTTGCTTTTCCATCAAGGTGTTGGCGAGGAGAAAGGGGCGGTTATAGCTTACCCATCGGGGAACGATGTGTTCACTGCTCTTCTGTTGGCTTTACCTCCAGAGACTTGGTCAGGTATCAAAGACCAATCACTTTTGCAAGAAATGAATCAGCTCATTTTCATGGTTAGCCTCCCAACTTTGCTTCAACAAGAGGTAAATATCTAACAGCCAATTCTATACTTTGAATTCGTGTTTTTATCGATTTAAGATCTTCTTATTCTTATGACACGAAACATAAATGAAACTGAGTTAGAGTCTGAGGATTACCTCATGGAGCTGCTAAGCACTCTTCTTAGGCTAAAATCACTTAATTCGTTTTCTATGGTTGATACAGGTTTTGCACTTGCGACGCCAACTTGAGATGCTAAAACGATGCCAGGAAAATAAAGAAGACGAAGTACTCTCTGCTCCTGCCTATGCGTAATCTAACACAACAACCACACTCTCATTTCATCTAATTTCTCAAGAACCAACAAAATGTTAGGAAAGACCTCTAGGACTGGAATTACGGTCTGATGCGAGATCTTCGAATCAGCAAAAGCTATGTAGTATACAGTACATACATCCCTGAGAAATTAACGGCAAGTACCAACCAAATCATAGGTTTTATTTACATACAAAAGTTGTATACATTATCTTCTTTAAACTCGTCTTACCATTCCAAGGAGTGGCTCCTGCTTAAAGACCGAGACAACAATGGCTTCGGTTTCTCATCAACAGGAATCAATTGCTCCATAAGCTTCTTGTATCTCTCTTTAGTCTTCTCTTCAATTTCCTTCAAAAGCTGTTCATTCTCTTGCTCTAATTTCGCAGCCAAAGTCTCTAACTCCACTTGATATGCCTGTTTTCGTTCCCTAGACCGAGCAGCGGATTCACGGTTCTTGATCATCCTCTTTTGTCTCTGAGCTGCAACTTTATCCATTGCCTCTACCATCATCACCCTCCCTCTCTTTCTTCTAACTCCTCCACTTATTGATCCTTGTACCATCTGAAACTGATTCTGCATCATCGGATAATCAAATGTATAGCTACCACCACAGTCTTTGAGTCTCTCCGGCGGA